GCTCTTCCGATCTCCCCAAAACCCCAAAACCCCAAGGCGATGTAGATGGTCATTAAATTTTTAAAAGGTTTATAAACAATTAAAATATGCTTTATATGATCTTCCTCTAACAAAGAGTATTTTTGTGCATAATCGTTTTGAATGGTGGATTTATTGTCTATCATTCATTTGAACGATGAGTTGCTCAGTACACATACTTTTTACCACCCTTTTCTCTTCTAGTCTCAGCGTTTTCTCTCAGTCTTCTATCGTGCCTTTGGTCTTCCTCCATTTTTTCCTTCATTTTTTGGGCTTCGTCAACAGTTTTAGTCTTCAAAGTCACAGAGTCCAATCTCTTGGTAGCATCAGAAGGAAGTGAAGGTCCACCAAGGGGTGAAATCTATAAATTGTTCATGATAATATAAAATTACTGGATGATAGTAATCGCTGACTTCTCTCACATCAAAATATCTGATTGGTCCAATTTCCAAGTAACCCATATAATTACCCTTGATGTCTAGGATTTTCTTTCCATTTTGCTGAATTTCACCAGCAAAGTAATCTTATGTTCTCTTCTTGACTGATCCCATATCATAGTATGCGTAGAGATTATTCTTTTTGTCATGGAACTCAATTTTACCAGTAAGTTAATGACAAAGAGTTCCCATGAAAAGATTATTCAACTGATCTCCTTAGTTGTTCCAGTCAATCTTTGTGCCGTCTGGGAACTCAACAGTCTTACGACCATCAACGTATAATGTGCAGGAATTTAACCAAGCTTTTGCTGTAAAGCTGTTCCAGCCATGCATCTTGTAAAGACCGTTTGGACCTTCAAATAAGAAATTTGTAATAGGTGGTCTGTGAGAAGTCTGCTCCATAAAGACCATAGTACCATCTTATCCTGTGGCTTGATATGTTTCACCAAGTATAGGATTGAGCTAAATAGATAAAAATATTAAATTTATTTACTGGTTTCTCAAACTAATGAGTGGGATAGATAAATGCAAGGGATGATGCAACTACATGTATAAGTCTTTCAATTGGGTCATTGGTCAAACTTGCAGCATTCAAGAATATTGGATTAACACCAGCAATAGTAGCCATGACCTCAAGGATGGTCGCTGGGCACATGCATTTAATAGGGAAACTGATAGTTGTCAAGTTGAATTTTCCACTAAGTATCTTTTTACCTACACTCTTGAGTATTTCCTTTCCTGCACTTCTAAGTCTTGAAGATAGTTCAGGGTCCTTTAGATCAAAGCCACCATAATAGCCAGCGTCTGGTGCTCTGTAGTCATCCTTGTATGATCTATAGCCTCTGAAGTTTCTTGCTTTTTCAATGAGTTCAGCCTATCTTTAATTATCAAACTGAGATTCCTGATAAGTTTATGGTCTACTCTTATCCTCTTCTTCTTGATGTAAACTCTTTCTGGCTGTTTCAAAGAATCTTTCATATTCATCATCATTTATTGCTTCATCTTATAACTCATTGGCTTATATTACGAATAATTATAGTTCCTCGGTGCTTGCTTCATCGAAAACATCTTGGATTAAAGTATTGTTAAAATTTTATTGGTCTAATTGTTGCTCATCAAGGGCTTCTTATTGAATCTATTCTTCACCTTTTTAAGCATTTAGAATAGTAAGAATCTGTTGAAGTTTTTATTGGATTTCTCTCTCATCAGCTACAGAGGAAGTCTCTGAGTCCTTTCCTGAGATTTAAGATAGTTGATCTTCATCTTATTGTCTATTAGCAAGATTGTAGGTTTCATTGAGTTGCTTCAGAAGCTCCTCAGTAATAGTCTTGATCTGGTCTTTTCTGACGACTTCTGTTTTAATTACTTCTTCTCTCTTTCTTAAGAGATCTCTTTATCTCATAATTACTTCCTTCATCTTTGCCTGGTCTCCAGCATTAAGATGCTTTTCAGATTCATATAAAAGAGTACTAAGCACTTGGGAATTATGAATTGAAGTTTTCAAGGCATTTTTATTGATATAGATGTGCTCACCATTTTCTTCACCAATTAAGATATCATTGATAGGGTCAATATGAACATCACTTTTAATCTCTTCCTCAGGTTCATTAGGATTTCTAAGTTGTTTAGCTGGCACCTTTTTAACCATTCTATTGAATCCAACATACATAGTTCTAGGAGTGTTGCTAATACCTCTAGTAGTTTAAGTAACCAAGTCAATAGTTCCTTTTACTGGTTTGCACACTAATCCTAATATACCTTTCCCGAAGCCCATTGCTCCTCCTTTTATACCACCTTGTTTGGCTCCTTTAACTGGCTCTGTAATTACACCAGCAACAGCTGAGAACATGTTTGTCAACAATGACTTGGACCCATATGCTAAACCTGAAGCAACGTTGGAAGGGGGCTCGCTCTTTTACTTTAAATGCTTCTGCTTAAATACAAAGTCTGGGGTAGCTTCAATACCGTCACCAATCTATTTATTTATGAAATACTTTAGATATTACCTTTTCTAAGGACAGAACCATGACTTTGGTCAATTTCCATGGTACCTGTATAGCTCCATATACACCTTTGCCGAATTGTTAGGCAATGGATCTCTTTATAGGAGCTTTCTTTGAGGAAGCTTAGAAAGCCTCCTTTAACTCTTGGACACTCTATGGATCCTCAGAGAGTACAGTGAATTGCAAGTTATGAGCTGTTTTAAATTCAAATGAATCGAAAACCTTTCCATTTTCTGGGTCTGACACAATTCCTAATCAGAATTATAAGATATTTGCAGATCAATCGAGGCTATTATAATGATTTATCTACTTACTGAGTTTCTCAGGAAAAGTTCCGTTTGAAATACTGAAAGATTCAGATGGTTTATCCTAACTCAACGATTTAAAAATATGAATGACTCCTGTTTAGGTATCTAGGACGAAAAATGCTCTTTCTACAATTAAAATCATTAGAAATGTTCACATCTAATTATATAAAAGTGAGACTTACAAAGTGTTTTTGCAGGAATTAAAATTCCTCTCTTGTATTGTTAATTGAGACTGTAGTCTTTTCTGCTCTCCATCTTAGTTATGTTTGTTTATTACTATTCAATAGTATTATTAATTAAAAATTTCTATAATAAGATTCAATAAATTTTCCATTTACTCAGACTATTGAAAAACTTCCAATTCTGCTATACTATTGCCGTGAGGGGTTTTGGGGTTTTGGGGTTTTGGGG